TGAAGAGTCAAACACAGAAAAATCATCCATGAAGATCTCAATGCAATTTTCAATCAAATCAGAGAAAATGGAAAACATATACCTTTGAAATGTTGCTGGTGCATTACAGAGACCGAAAGGCATCCTCCTGTAAGCAAAAACTCCATAGGGACATGTGAACGCTGTCTTTTCTTGATCTATAGGAGCCACTACTATTTGATTGTAACCAGAATAACTATCTAGAAAACAATAGTATTCATGCCCAGCCAATTTCTCAAGCATTTGATCTATAAACGGGAGTGGAAAATGGTCATTTCTTGTGGCTTGATTTAATCTTCTATAGTCAATACACATGCACCACCCTGTAACTTTTCTTGTGGAGATCATCTCATTTTTTTCATTTGTTACTATTGTCATCCCACCTTTCTTGGGTACCACTTGAACTGGACTTACCCACTCACTATCAGAAATTGGATAAATAATGCCTGCGTCTAGAAGCTTGATTACTTCCTTCCTTACCACATCCTTCATTGTGGGGTTGAGCCTTCTTTGTGGTTGACGAATAGGTTTGAAGTCCTCTTCCAAAAAGATTTTATGCATGCACAAAGTGGGACTAATACCTTTCAAATCATCAATTTTCCAACCTATAACAAATTTGTGCTCTCTCAATACCCTTAAAAGATTTTCTTCTTCAACAGTAGTCATTGCATTGCTTATAATTACAGGATTAAACATTGTGTCATCTAAGAATCTATATTTAAGATGAGAAGGGAGTAGTTTCAACTCTACCATAGATGTCTCTTCTTCGTCAATGTCATTCCTGTTTAAGTTTTCTATTCTTCTAGTGGAACTGAATAATGGCTTGAGAGCTTCTAATTGATGAACACACTGCACCACTTCTTCTTCACTCACTTCTTCAATCAACTCTTTTGCTCCCATTCCGGAAAATTGAGTTTGCTCTAACATACTCTTCCTCAGATAATTACCCCTTTCTTTTAACACCAGAGACTCGATGATTTCAGCTCGGAAACAATCCTCCTTATCCACCTTATGCTTCATTGCTTCATATATGGAGAAAGTGACTTTATCATCAGCTACTCTTAACATCAATTTACCTTGTTGTACATCTATTAATGCTCTTCCTGTGGCTAAAAATGGTCTTCCCAATAAAATTGGGACTTTAGTATCTTCTTCCATGTCAAGGACCACGAAATCAGTTGGAAAGATAAATTTATCAACCTTCACTAAGACGTCTTCAACCACTCCATAAGGATAAGTCATTGATCGGTCTGCTAATTGGAGAGTTATCATAGTAGGCTTCACTTCTCCGATACCCAACCTTTTAAAAATGGACAAGGGCATCAAATTGATGCTCGCCCCAAGATCACACAATGCCTTGCTTACCATTAAATTTCCAATCTCACATGGAATGACAAAACTTCCTGGATCCTTCAATTTGGGAGGTAATTTTTGTTGAATGATTTCACTACACTCCTCTGTAAGCATTATGGTTTCATCCTCCTGTAGCTTCCTTTTTCTTGACAAAAAGTCCTTCATGAATTTATCATAGCTTGGTATTTGCTCCAATGCTTCAGCAAATGGGATATTAATGTGGAGCTTCTTAAAGACATCAAGAAATCTTGCAAATTGCGTCTCTTGTTCTTTCTTCTTCAACCTTTGAGGGAATGGAATAGTAGGAACATATTCTCTCATTTTACCCTTTTCACTCTTGAATTTTCTCCCCCTTATTCCCCTCTTTGCAATTTTTCTGCTCTTTTTTTTCACTCTCTATCACAATCTCCTCTCTTTGTTCTTTTCTCTCACTACCCATCTCACTCCTTTTTCTCATTCTCTACCAATCTCCCACTCCTCAATTGAATTGCCTTACATTGTTCCTTTGGGTTGGTAATGGTGTCACTAGGAAATGTTCCAGGAGATATCTCTGAGATTTGTCGTGAAAGTTGACCAATTTGGTTCTCCAAATTTCTGATTGAAGCTTCCTGATTCTTGAAATTTGTCTTTGCCTCATTCATGAAATTAGAAGTTTGTTCCACAAATGTTGAGGTTTGCTCAGTTAACTTCTCTAAAGCTCTCTCAAAAGTAAACATCTTAGTTTCTTGGTTGTTAGACTGTGGTTGATATTGATATGGAAGCTTTGGCTGATTGGATTGATTCGATCCACTCCAAGGTTGGTTTGATGGGCTTCTCCAATTTGTATTGAAATGGTTAGCAAACTAATTCTGATGTTGGCCCACTGCATTCACCTGCACCTCTTGTTGAGTGACTTGACATTCACCATTTTGATGCATTCCTCCACAAAAATCACATGCTAAAGGTGTTGTCTTCACTGCTTTCCCTTGCACATTATCAATCTTCTTAGTCAACTCGGTCATTTGTTGTGTTAACAACTTGTTTTGGGCTAGGATAGCATCCAAAGTGTTAACTTCTAACATTCCACATTTTCTATTCTGACGATCAAACTACATATTCCCTGTATTATTTTCCATTAACTCAATAGTCTCCAAGGCTTCTGCTGGTGTCTTCAGATTAAATGCTCCTCCACTTGCTGCATTCAACATTACTCTAAAAGAGGGTACAAGACCATTATAAAATATTTGGACTAGTAACCAATCTGGTAAAGCATGATGTGGACATTTCCTCAATATCTCCTTGTACCTCTCCCAAGCCTCGTACATAGATTCAATCTCTTACTACACAAAAGTAGTGATTTCATTTCTCATTCTTGCTGACTTGGATGGAGGGAAGTATTTTGTTACAAATTTTGTAGCCATATCTTCCCATGTAGTGATGCTTCCTTGAGGTTGTGTTTGAAGCCAGCTTTTAGCTTTATCCCTTAATGAGAAAGGAAAAAGCCTCAAGCGGATTGCCTCACTTGAAACTCCATTAAGCTTCAAAGTATCACAGATGACTAGAAAATTCTCTAGATGAGAATTAGGATCCTCTGCAACTGCACCTCCAAATTGATTCTGTTGGATGACTTGTAGCAATGCATGCTTGATTTCAAAATTGTTGACATGAATAGGAGGTTTCACAATGCTCCCTTGGTAATTATTCACATCTGGCATAGAATAATCAAGAAGAGTTTTCCTCTCTGGTTGTTCTCCTGCCATTGTTGATACGTGCTCTTCCTTTTTACTTGATGCCTCTGCTTTTCCTTTTTGCTTCTTCTTTCTTGCCTCACTTCTATTATGTCTAGCAGTACGTTCAATCTCTGGGTCAAAAAGCAAATTTTTTTCTGCCATTGTACCTCGCATAAACAACTAAAAAAAACAATACAATATTCTAACAACAAAATTAACGTGACAACAGAAAAAACAAACAAGATAATGGAAACAGAAAAACAAAATAACTAAAATAAAAACAGTTTTGACTACCTAAAAACTAACACTCAAATCTTAAGTGAATTAGATCACTAATATCAACAGAAAATCAATCCCCGACAACGGCGCCAAAAACTTGATGAACGTTTGGCAAATGCACCAATCGTTAACGTAGTAATAAAATATCGTCCTCTGGGATTGAATTTGTTGAATACTAAATTCCTAATTTACGTAAGTTTGAGCAATTGAAAATTTGGAATAAAAGAACAAACACAAAATTATAATAAAAACTTTAGTCAAAATAAGATCTGTTAGAGAATTGATTTCATATCCTTTCCTATATAATTCCAGTCCTTTCAATTGATGCAAGAAATGTAATGATCCACTTGAGTTTACCCAGAATTATTTTACCCCTAATCCCTTAGTAAGCAAAACTATTCATTGAATTCGAACCCCCAATCCCTTAGGTCAGTTATGCCATTCAATAAAATCATGACAAAACAATAATCTTCTCTATTGCAAACTAATTAGATATATGCCCAATTTCTCAATTGTGACAAACCCTAACCTGTTATATTTAGGATCGCGAACAACCTCCAATCTCCCAATTGTGAAACTGCTCGTGGAATGAACTTAAAAATTATAAATAGAACACTGAGATAAAGAACATTAACTAAACATCAATTGTCAAGAACAAGAAAATATAATTCAGAGTACTACATCAATCCTCTAACAAAAAAGGAAAATCAGTTCTGCATAATGTAAAAAATTGCTAAAAAAAATAATAACTAGAACGTAAAAAATTGTAGAATGGTTGTCCAACCCCCTTAGGTCAGTTTCGTTTCACCTTCTTTATAGGGTGTCCCACATTTTTTCTCCACTTGTTGAGGTAGTTACCACTTCTCATAACCGTCTTGCATTTCCACAGGTTGTGGAAAAATCCACAACCCACATGTGGAACTCTCTGACTTCAACTGTGCATTCTGAACCACAAATCCACAGGTTGTGGAAACATCCACAACTCACCTGTGGAGCTCTCTGACTTCGTGCAATCTTTTGGAGTCTAATTCACAGGCTATGGAAGAATCCACAATCAACCTGTTGAGCTTTCTGATCTTAATTATCTTTGCATTCTGGTATCAAATCCACAGGTTGTGGAACATTTTACAAGGTACCTGTGGAACTTGCTGATCTGAAATCTTTCTATCTTGACACCAACTCCCTCCAAACTATGAATTCAAACTTCCAAACACCTATTTACAAGAACAATGCACAAAACAACATGTATGATCCAAAACAACGATAATGTCTGATGAAATCATTCCCATAATGCAACAACATATGAAGTTAACCTAAATTAATGCATGAATGTAATGATATTTTATCCACTCATCAATCTTTAGTGGAAGGATTCCCCCTCTATTGGACTGCCAATCCCCACTTCCAAACTGTCGAACAATTATCAGAGCTAAAGCATAATGAAGTCGATCATTGTAGTATGCTCAAGTGATTGAATATTGTTTTGATACATCCACACTTCTTAAATTGGAATTTTGAGTGACTGACCTTAAAGTTTATATAGGTATTCCCAACCTTCTTGTCCTTAGTATTTTCATTACTGAATGGTTAACGTTCCTTCCAATTTTTGCAAAGAAACAAAAGAATTTATTAAAGAAAGAAATGAGCCATTGTCTTCGTGAAGCTATGCTTGCTAAGCAAAAACTAGCTAAAGTGATAATCATTGGGGAAACTTCCACTCCAGTTTGGGTGGAGGATATAGGCTTGAGGTTTGAGAGGACCGAGAGCGATGTTTATACCATCGAGCCTAAATCGGGAGCCATTACTTGGCATCCTGTCTTAGCAAAAGAGCCTCCTTGGGATGTTTCTAAAGCTATCGGATATGGGTTGTGTAGATATGGTTTGAGCTCTACATAACTTGCTCGTGACAGCTAATTCGCTCGCCTCACATGTCGAAAAGAAAGCCTTGGATTTCGAGGCTTAAGCGAAAGAAAAAAAAACGGTAGAGTCCTAGAAAGTTCGAGCAATATAGAAATAGGATGACAGCTTAAAGGCTTAGCCATCCTTGACCGAAGCGTTACGCAAAGTAGAAGAGGATTGGAGGGTCGAGAAAGAGGCACGTAAGTCGCTTTGCCAAAGCCATCGAGCTAAAATAGTCTATATGGAGGATAAAATTAATGTCCTAACAAGGAAAAACAATGAGCTTTAATGCTCAGAAGACGCTACCAAGATCGAAATCACCAAAATGTATGCGGTTGGATTCGCTGGAGCTTTGGAGAGAGTACCATTCTCTTCTTTGGCGCAAACCTATCTACCATGGGCTCTTTTAAAAGTGTTGTCGATGGACAAATAGTGGATAAGGAAGAATAATGGTGTATTGAACTTTGTGATTGTAATTTTAATTTTGAATTCTATGACGTCATTGCATCGGTTGGTTTTGATGGAATTTACTTAGGCTATTTTAGGGACTTCATCGTTTTGTGGTAATTTTTATTTAGTCGTTGTCGCCTTTATTTTTATCTTCGTTCGTTGTAAAATTATTTGATGTTTTCATTGTAGAATTGTTCGACCTTTAAGCAGTCGTGCTCGTTGTTGTAGAATTGTTCGACCTTTAAGCAGTCGTGCTCGTTGTTGTAGAATTATTCGACCTTTATGTGATCATTGTTGTCATTGTAAAGTTTTTCGACTTTTATGTGGTTGTTGGTGTCACTGTAGAAAATTTCTAACCTTTATGTGGTCTTTGTTGTCATTGTAGAATTTTTTGATCTTTTTATGCAGTCGTTATTGTTGTTGTAGAGTTTTTCGACCTTTATGTGGTTGTTGGTGTTATAGAAAATTTTCGTCCTTTATGTGATCATTGTTGTCGCAGTAGAGTTTTCTGACCTTTATGTGGTCGTTATTGTCGTTGTAGAGTTTTCTAACCTTTATGTGGTTGCTGGTGTTGTTGTAGAAAATTTCCAACTTTTATGTGGTCGTTGTTGTCATAGTAGAGTTTTCTGATCTTTATGTGGTCGTACTCAAGGAAATAATTCTTAAATTATTGTTTTATTCACTTTCCTTGGAGGAAAAACTTGAGAAGGGGAGAAAAAACCTTTAAGAAAAAAGTCAATATAAAGTTTATTTAGAAAATAAATGAAATAACGAGAAATTTAAATGTAATAAAATTGTAATCTTGTTGCATTCCAATTTCAGGGAATCTGTCCCCCATCTAGTTTCTCGAGCTTGTAGACTCCTTTCTTGACAACTTCGACAACTTGGTACGGTCTGACCCATTGAGCAGAAAGCTTGTTGTCGGTTTCCCTTGGTTGGGCACACTGCAAAACTATATTCGACACTCTGAATGCTCTGGGCTGACTTTCTTGGAGTATGCCTGTACAACGCGACACTTTGCGGCTTCAACTAGAATATGAGCTTGCTCTCGAACCTCTTCGATGCAATCTAGGTCCACCATGGCGGCATGGGTTGCGTCGTCCTCCAAAAAATCAACTACGCGTTCTATGCGACATTTACAACATATACCAAGTTGAACGTCGTTTCCTTGGTTGTTGCTTGGGTCGTGGTGTGGTATGATCACAATAGATTGGGCAATTTTGAACCTTACATCTTTTTTCTCTCGCCTAATATTTGGTTTAGGCCCCTCAAAGTAACCTTGTTATTAGCCTCGACCTGTCCATTTGTTTGTGAGTGTTCGATAAACAAGAAAGTGTGGTGTATGCAGAATTGCTCACATAGGTGGCCAACTAGTCAGCTGGTGAACTAAGTGCCATTATCTATGACGATGGCGTGTGGGACTCCATATCGGCATATGATTACTCTCCAAATGAAATTTTGTATTCATTCGACTGAGATTCCTGTTACTAGTTTGGCTTTAATCCATTTGGTGACGTAGTCTATGCCGACCACAAGAAACTTGGCCTGTCGAAGAGAGATTGGGAAGGGACCTGTTAAGTGGTAAAAAGTTGATTTAATTATATCTTGAATTATTATGAAACCACTTAACTATTGCTAATTCTAATATATTTTTCTCCCAATATAGGATGAATTCAAGAATACCTTGATACAAGAGTAAGAAGTATGATTGATAGCAGAATTGGAGTAAAACTGGAAAAAGGAAGAAGATTTTCAGCATGAAAATCGCTCGAGCGGGATGGATTTTCGCTTGAACGAATGTTAGTTATTCTTCTCTGGAATTCACTCGCTCAAGCGAGCGTTTTGTCACTTGAGTGAAAGCAGGCTACTTTCGCTTGAGCGAAAGTTCTCGCTCGAGCGAAAGACACAAAGCCCAAAAGCCCAAATTTTTCCAATAGAAAGAGAAGATGTGTTTTGTGAAAGAAAGCAGTCTTGGAGAAGAGGAGACACGACTACTATGAGAGTTTCGTCTAATCTTCATCAATTTTTCACTTCTTCATCAATTAGAGCATTGTAATGGACAACATGAGTGACTAACTTCATTCTCTTAGGATTCGGTGCACTTCCTTTGAACTCTTTTGTATCATGGTGATATTTTGAGATATTAATCTATGCTTTGATGTTGTTTTTCTTATCCTTTATTCTTTGGAATGATTTATTCTTGATGTTTGGGGTAAATATATCTTGAACCCTAGATCACGGTAAGAATATTTGTTACGTTAATTGCCAGGAATGGAATGAATGTATCAATTGCTTAACACCCTAACCCTAATGCTGGAAAATCTCTTAATTGTGTGAGGAATCAACATTTATTAGGTTTTCTTATCAATTTCATGTGTGAGGAATCAACATGGATGATTTGAGTAGGTGACATCAACATTGTTAGGTTAATTGACATTCTTAATTGATTTATCCATTACAAAAGAGGGATAAGGAAGGAAGCCAATCCTAAGTACCTTTAATTGATATTTTCTCAACAATTTACAGTTCTTTGTCATTTAATTTCAATTCAACTCTTATTACAAAAACCAATCTGTTTTAATCTACTTAGTAAGCATAATTGGGAATTTCCATTGAAACTATTCTTCATGGGATCGACTTTTATTTAATCGAAATATTATACTACGATTGATAATTTTGGTACGCTTGCCAATAATTCAACAAGTATTTCTGGCGTCGTTGTCGGGGAGCGGTGTTCTTTTAGAATTATTTGTTTAGCTTATTGAGTATTTTATTTTTTATTTCTATTTTTGTTTTATTTTTCAGTTTTAGTTTTTTTTAATCTTTGCTTGAGTTGCTCTTTTGATTTATGCGTTTAAGAGGACAGGTATCTTCAGAGCAATTAGAATTTAATCCGGAGATTGAAAAAACAGCTCGGAGGAACCGGGGTAGAAGAAGAAGGGAAACTCAAGAACAAGTCACAAGAGAATCTGCTAATTCTTCTTTCACACTTAATTTGCCAGACCTAATTATAGAAGATATGGCGAAAGAAGGAGCAAATCTGAATTCAAATCCAGATCCCAATATAAATCTAAATCAAAATCCAAATGCAAATCCACCTAGAAGAACTCTTAGAAATTGTGCTATGCAGCAAGGCCCAAGGCATTTTTCCAGCATTGTCATTCCGGATGATCATACATTGCAGATGAATCCATCCTTTTTAAGCTTGATTAGTGCTCATCAATTCACTGGATTGGATCATGAAGACCCTTATATTCATTTGTCTACTTTTTATGAGTTGATTGGTACCATGGGATTTAGAGCAACAAATCTTGAATCTGCATATTTGATATTATTTCCTTTTTCTTTGGCAGGTAGGGCAAATGACTGGTTGAAAGCACATCCTAATCAGAGTTTGACTAATTGGAGTAGTGTAGAAGAAAAGTTTCTGAATAGATTTTTCCCACCATCCCGCTACATCAAAGGAAAATCTGACATCACTTCTTTTAGACAAGGAGCAGATGAACAATTTTGTGAAGCATGAGAGAAATTTAAATCACTGTTAAGAAGATGCCCAAATCATGGATTTGATGATGTTGCTCAGTTGAATATTTTCTATACTGGGTTACGACATGATGCAAAGATGCTATTAGAAGCTGCAGCAGGAGGATCCATGTTGGACGTAGAAATTGACCATGGCACAAGAATTATTGATGCACTAGCTTTTACAGACCAACAGGCCCAACATGATAGACATCCAATTCAAAGGAAGGGAGTCCTTGAACTTAACACCACAGATGCTCTCTTAGCCCAGAATAAAATTTTGACCCAACAAATTGAGGCATTGAATCAGAAAATAGAGAAATTACCTCAACAAATGCACACAGTACAAACTATTCCTAATCAACAGATGAGTTGTGATTTGTGTGGAGGTGATCATTCAAATGAGCAATGCTCTTATCAAGGCAACATTCAACAAGAAGAAGCTAATTATATGGGTGCCCAAGGTAGTAGTCAAGGCAGACAAGGTAATTTCCCTAATCCCAATAATTATCAGAATAATATTACCCAAGGATGGAGAGGGAATCAAAATCAGAATCATAATCATAACTTTGGGTGGAAACAAGGTGTTAGCTCATCTACTAGACAACCTGCATTTCAACAATAGTCATATCAGCAACCTTCATATTAACAGCAGCAACAACATTATCCTTCAGTGTCTGACAAAATAATTAAATTGGAGGATACTTTAGAAAAATTCATGCAAGGCACTATGGCTAATCAGAAAATACTGAGGTTTCATTCAGAAATATAAAGACCCAAATAGGTCAACTGGCTAAGAAATTATCTGAGCAATAGCAAGGAGGACAATTTTCAGCTAATACACAAACCAATCCAAAGGAGCAGTGTAAGTCAATAACTACAAGGAGTGGTAAGGTTATAGGAGAAGGTATTGGTGACAATCTGGATGTAGAAAAGGAAATCCTAAAAGAAAAAGATGAGTGTGAAAGAGAAAAAAAGAAAATAAAAGTGAGAGTATAGAAAAAGAAAAAAATAGGGATGGCAAAACGGGCCAGCCCGCCCCGTTTTGGCCCATCCCATCTTTGGTCCGCCAAAAGCGGGGCGGGGCGGGCTGACCCGTTATAGTCGTGACGGGCTGTAGACCTTGGCCCGCCCCGCCAAGGGGTGGGTTGGCATGTCTGGCCCACCAAAATTTAGAAAAAAATAATTTTTTTTTAAAATATATTTTTTTAATAAATTTAATAATAAGATTATTATTTGTTTGTCAATAATTCAATATATATATATATATATATATATATATTATTTCAATTTAATAATATAAATCAATACATTATTTTAAGAAATTATAATTTAGAACAATAATAAAATTTACATAATAATAAATAATAACATATATATATATATATATATATAACATTAAAACTTATAAATTTATATTTTTTATATTAAAAAATTTAAATACCTATATCTTTTTTATTTGATAAAACTTCACATTATTTTTGGTTGAGTAATTCTTACACCTTTAATTCAAGTCATAAGGATAAAAATAATAGTGCTTAGGATGAACAAGGAGAACAGGAGAGAGAAAGTTGTGTTTCAGGAAGGAGAATATTTTCTGTGAGAGTGAAACTTTTTTAATTCTCTTTTTAAAATTTTTAACTTTATATATTATCTTTATAATTAATTTTATTAGAATAAAAAATTATTTTATTAATTAAGCGGGTTGCGGGTTGCGGGCTGGCCCGCCCGTCCCACGGGTTGGCCCGACGGGTTGGCGGGGTGGACCAAAACGGGCTAGTGGGCTAAAAACACCGCCTCGCCATATTATGGCGGGCTGGCCCGTCGGGTCTGGCCCGTTTTGCCATCCCTAGAAAAAAATACTGAAAAAGAAGAGAAAAATAAAAAGTGTGAGAAAAAGATGGAGAAAGATGAGAGTCAAATTCCGTAACTAAAGGATTTACCATATCCTCGTCATCCTTCCAAGAAAGATAAAGAAAGACAGTTTGCA